TTTTGTTTACAATAAGCACTTATTATTCACACAATTTGAAAGGCTCAATACTGGAATACTGCAAATCTTAGTCAGCATCAAGCACTTGAGTTCCTGGGCCATGAAACAAATCAAGGCTGAACTGATAACAGATGAAATATTTGTACACAGAATCAGCCTGGGGCTGTCACTGCAATCCTGGTTGGCCCTCAAACCAATGTGCTGTGTGGCTGGCTCTAGCCTCTGTCCTACACATCCAGGAGACAAGAACGTTTGCAAGCACTCGGCCCACGCTTTGCACTCACTTGTACTTGAACGGCCCCAGGATCAAAGGGATAATTATAATGTTGATGACAGTAGCAGCTACTATCTATGGAGTCACTGTGCCAATCACATCACTCCCAGTGAATTCTAAATTATGATCCAAAATGAACAAGTTTTGTTCTACTTTCATAGATGAGGAAACTGGGTCCCAGAAAGAATGAGTGTGCTACAATGAAAAATATTTAATCAAATCCTTGAATCTCGTGAGTGATATGAGCGTCTTTTGTTATTCATAATGAGTCCCTTTCAATCATACCCAAGTTTACGCTAAATGAAGTGACTTTTGTGGGAATAGGGTGGTAGACAGCTTCAGGATAAGGGCAGGTGGCCAGAAAAGCCAGCCAGGTGATTAGAGAGTAGGAATTTTCAGCCCCATCCCCTGGACCTCCAGGGAAGTTAGAGGAGCTGGACATTGAGTTCAATCACCAAATGGCCAGTCATGCCTACCTAGTGAAATCTCCAGAAAAAATATCTAAACGATGGGGTCTGGGGAGCTTCTGAGTGGAGCTCATTCTGACTCCATAAGGACAGAGGCTCCTGCATCTGACGGCCTCACCCTATGGATCTCTCCCATGTGGCTGTTCCTGAGTTTTATCCTTTAAAACATATCAGTGATTGTTTAAGTAAAGCACCTTCCTGAGTCCTGTGAGTCACTGCAGAAAATGACTGAACCTGAGGAGGGGCGGTGGAAACCATCGAATCTGTACTCAGCCAGACAGAAGTGCCTCGGCGCCCCTTTTGCAGCTGGTGTCTAAAGTGGGGCCATCTTGTGGGACTGGGCCCTCACCTGTGGGATCTGTGCTAACCCTGAGAGTTAGTGTCAGAATTGAATGGAACTGTTGAATATCCAGTCAGAGTCAAAGAATTACAGAACAGCTTGGTGTGGAAAATGTATTTGGTATCAGAAAAAAAAAAAAAAAAAAACACAAGGGCTCAGGGCTCAGCCAGTGGACCCTACGGGTGATTGCCAACTGTTCTCAACCCACCACAGCACCCGGCCTAGGTTCTGAGATAGAGGCCTAAGAGGTCTCCGGGGCCACAGACCCCACTAAGAAAAGGTGACCAAAGCGGAAGAAGAAAAACAGGACAGTGTGGGGGGTCAGGATGCAAGATGAGAGAGTATGGCAGGAGGGACAGAGTGCCCCATAGCAGACACTGCCAGGACGTTGGGTAGGGTGAGAACCCAAGAGCAACCAGAGGATCCAGGAACACTAAGGCCCCATCCCAGGCTCCTGACCAGGGGACTTTCAATGCCGCCAGACTGGAGTGGGCTGAAGATGAACTGGGCAAGACCACCACATAGTCAGGATGGTGGACTGGGGGAAGGGGCAGGAGGTGTGTTTGGCTGGAAAATACACATGGGAAGCTTCTGGGGTATTGACAATCTCCTATTTGTTGACCCAGGTGGTGACTGTATATTAAACTCCATATTTACTTTCATAATTTTTTCAGAATTTGACAATAAGAGATTAGAAAAGAGAGATTAGGAGAGGGGGAAGTAGAGAAGGCAGGTGCAGAGCTCCTCTTCAGGGAAGTCTGGCTGAGCTGGCCCTGGGCTCTAGGGCCAGTTGAGTAGGAGCCACTGGCAGGCTTTTGGGATGGGGGAGGATCAGACATGCCTTTTAGATAGCATCACATCCCAGAAGGGAAGGGGAGGAAAGGAGGAGCCCTGTGGCACTAATCAAAGTAAACAGGGGTGGAATATGTGAGTGTGTGAGCTCCTAGGACACAGAGCAAAACAAATATCACCAGGCGTGGCGGCTCACGCCTGCAATCCCAGCACTTTGGGAGGCTGAGGCGGGCAGATCACCTGAGGTTGGGAGTCCAAGACCAGTCTGACCAACATGGAGAAACCCCCTCTCTACTAAAAATACAAAAAAATTAGCTGGTCATGGTGGTGCATGCCTGTAATCCCAGCTACTCGGGAGGCTGAGGCAGGAGAATCATTTGAACCAAGAAGGTGGAGGTTGTGGTGAGCCAAGATTGCACCATTGCACTCCAGCCTGGGCAACAAGAGCAAAACTCCGTCTCAAAAAATAAAAAAGTATATATATATATACTTTTTTGAGATATATATATATCGAAGAACAAGTCCCACAATCCATCCAAAAAAGAAAACACAACCCAAACCAAAAACTTGACATTAACAGAATCTTTCAAATTCCATCAAATTATGCTTGCAGAAAATTATGCATTGTCCTCCTTATTTATCATTTCTCATCCATATTTATGTCAACCTGGGCTCCGGGAATGACCTGTGTTTTTAAATCCATACCAATCATACCCTATTTTAACCATCAGGCTGGCTCTGCTGGAGACAAAAATACTCCCAATACTCCCACCACCTTGTTATAGAAACACAACACAGCCAAGGCTAACCCTTCTGTAGCGAGTTGATGAGCTAAGATGGGCCCTGAGGAGCTCACTTTTTCACCCCTCTCAGAGAACATTGGACACGAGCTGCCTTTAATAGGTACCATCTTGGCTGGACGTGGTGGCTCACACCTGTAACTTCAGCACTTTGGGAGGCCGAGGTGGGCAGACCTAAGGTCAGGAGTTGGAGACCAGCCTGGCCAATGTGGCAAAACCTCGTCTCTACTAAAAATACAAAAATTAGCTGAGCATGGTGGTGCACACCTGTAATCCCAGCTACTCAGCAGGCTGAGACAGGAGAATCACTTGAACCCAGGAGGCAAAGGTTGCAGTGAGCTGAGATCACGCCATTGCACTCCAGCCTAGGCGACAGAGCAAGACTCCATCTCAAAAAAAAAAAAAAAAAAGGTACCATCTCCTCAAGTTCATGTAATATATATGGCCTTTTGTTGGGCAAACACACAGCTTTTATCTGCTCCAAAAGAGTAGAAAGCCTGGAATGGATCCCAACGAACAGGATGGTATTCTCAAGTGATCACATCACCACTCAGCCACAGGCCCAATCTTAACCTTTCCAGCAGCTGCTTCTTTGTCAAATAGGTCCTCCCGCAGGATTTCACAGCCCAGCCCCTTACTCAACAAGTATTTATTGACAGGCTTCAGGAACACCAGGCAAGTAGGATAGCAATGAACAAGATGCTGACCTTGACCCTGACCCTGCATCCATGGTATGAGCATTTTAACAGCAGGAGGTTTGCAAAGTTCTCTTAAACTGTCTACTACATGCTCTGTAAGCATTTTCTTATGGATAACATAAACCTCATTTTAAAAATAGTTGAGACATTACAACCTGTCACAAAAACTCAGACAAAATGCTTCTAGTTATCTTGAGGTTTTAGAGCTTAAATTTAAAATACCACCACATTTTTCTCAGCTTTCGGTGCTAAGACAAAAAACAGCTTAGTTTTTAACTGACATCTACTTTTCCAGATCAGCAGCTCTCCTTTTTCCTCCTTTAGGAGTCTGTGCCAGGTAGGACAACCCAGAGAGCACCTGTAAGGAGGACCTTCCCCACCCAGGGCACACCGGGAGAGCAGCCCTGCCAAGGAGATGGCAGCTCCAGCCTCCTCCTTGGGGCCCACACTTTCTCATGGGCCCAGCAGCAGCCACACACAGAGCCATGTGTGGCTTCTGTGTGGCTCCCGATCTCAGGGAAGGGTAGCTGGTCTGAGGCACTCTCCTCCTGCTTCCCCCTCAGCAGCTGAGGTTTCCACGGCATTTTCATCCCACAGGCACAGCAGGGTGAGGCAGCCGACGATGCTTACGTGGATTTCCCTGACTGACTCCCTTTAAGCTCTTGCACATGCTAATTTGCAAATAAATATCAAGAAAACCAAATGATATTAAAATCCCTTTCTCATTCAGCACAGTAAGGACACAGTCTAGGAAAGGGAGTCTAGGACTGACCAGCTCTGTGCTTCCTGTCTGATTAACAAGGGTGGCCAAACAGGGCTAAGAATCCAAACCATGGGGAGAAAAGGGCAGGTTTCCACTCAAGACTTTCTGATCAAACCACCAAACCCCCCAGGTCCTCCTAGCTGCTTTGAATTTAATAATATTCCTAGGCTCAGGTTGGGCGCGTGGCTCACGCCTGTAATCCCAGCACTTTGGGAGGCTGAGGCGAATCCTGGCTAACACGGTGAAACCCTGTCTCTACTAAAAAAACACAAAAAAATTAGCCGGTCATGGTGGCAGGCACCTGTAGTCCCAGCTACTCGGGAGGCTGAGGTAGGAGAAAGGCGTGAACCTGGGAGGCAGAGCTTGCAGTGAGCCCGAGATCATGCCACTGCACTCCAACCTGGGCGACAAGAGTGACATTCCACCTCGAAAAAAAAAAAAAAAATCCTAGGCTCTGTAAGTTATTGGCATTTTCATTCACATTTTCAATTCTTCCAGAATCAGTATTTTTATAAATGGCTTTTAGGTGCAGTCTGAAAAATATGTAAATGTCTACACCGTATTATTTCCCATATTCTCCAAATATCAACATGACCAGTCTTCTCAGATGATCGCAAAACTGAAATGACATATTTAAAGTGGCCAAAATAATTGTTACGATGTTTCCCCCATTAGTTAAGATTCAGCTTATTTTGTAGTTTTACTCAACCCAGTAAAGAAATTTAAAATTTCACAGTTGAATTAAAATGGAATATTTAAGGATCAAAATGAACTAGAACCAAACACAACCTAGAGAGATTCCAACTTTTCCTTGGAGCCAACCGGCACGTGATCCTTTCGTGGCCAGACTGGCCACTTGTACTCACTGTCAGGTTCCAGTTGATCTGGGGGATCCTCATGTGCAGGTTGAGACTGAACATAATCAGCAAGACGCCAGTCACCACAAACGCACTGCAGCTCACAAACTCAAAAAAGTAGAGGCCTTCACACGGGGAGCACGCCATGATGGTCTCTATACAGATGAATGCAATCAGGGCCAAGATCTAGGAAGAAAATCGGAAACATATATGTATGTATATATTTAGTATACATCTGTGGACATACGTACCTGCCATGCTTAAATAACACTGAACAACAACAATATACTGCCCCAATATACTGGGGACAGCATTGTAACTGTCGGAAATCAGACCTGCTTCAATTCTTACACAAAGAATAGGTGCAGGGGTCTTAATGAAAGGATCAAATTACTAATGTAAACAGTGAAGGCCCACCACATACACTAAAATCAATCTGGTGTGATGTGGCCCGCGGGTGTAAACTGCTGGCCCTTGGGAGGAAGCAGAAACATCTCTACGATGTTTCTAGGTCTTCCCCTGCCACCAATAAGTAAGTGGGTATTGCCTATGTGTGTTTCTAATTCATGGTCTCCACCACAATTATCCCAAACACTGCAAGAGCAGAATTCTGATGGTATCCAACTTAGGCCATCTGCAGTTACCTTGGTGGCTCCTGCTAAAGTTACACAGGTTAACTGAGACTCCTGACAGCTTTAAAATGATGATTGATATAATCTCCTCTTCCCCCAATTAGGCGGGAACAAGAGGCCCACCTCATTAATTCATATGGTTTTAAAAAATATATTTTTTGAACTTGATCACAAGAAGATGGCAGCTTATTAAAAAAAACATTAAGAAATCTACCAATAATAGAATAAATTTCTAGGCTGGGCACTGTGGTTCACGCCTGTAATCCCAGTACTTTGGGAGGCCAAGGTGGGTGGATCACCAGAGGTCGGGAGTTCAAGACCAGCCTGAACAACATGGAGAAACCCCATCTCTACTAAAAATACAAAATTCGCTAGGCATGGTGGCGGATGTCTGTAATCCCAGCTACTCAAGAGGCTGAGGCAGAAGAATCGCATGAACCTGGGAGGTGGAGGTTGCAGTGAGCTGAGATCGTGCCATTGCACTCCAGCCTGGGCAACAAGAATGAAATTCCATCTCAAAAAAAGAAAAAAGAATAAATTTTTTTCTGAAGGACCAAAGCAACATTCTGGCAATATGTCCTAAGAGTTCACAGATCATAAAATCAAATAGATATCGATGGAAATTACCAAGTGAACTTTTAAAAGGGGATTTCAGGAGAAGGAGGAGGCCCAAAGGCAGAGTTAATGGCCCTGTGATCAAAGAAAGGTTTCGAGCACCTAAAGCCAGATCAGTCTTGGGCTCCCGCTCCGCTCAGTTCAATGGCATCTGAAGCCTGTGCTGCTGCTTCCAGGCTGGCCTCCACTTCACAGGACAAGGAAGCAGAGGCAGGCAGCTCTGTGGTCCTCTAGAGACTTGTCCTTTAGAGCTTGTGAGAAATGTAGAATCCTTGCTTCCTCCCCTTGAACTACAGAATCAGAATCTGCTTTCTGATGAGATCTTCAGATCATTAAAGTGCCAGCAGCATCCAAGGCACAGGCTGTTCTGGGGCCTTTCTCCACCTGCTGAAGTCCTACTGCTGCTTTCCAGTGCTCCACTTGATGCTGCCGCCACCTCCTCCCCATGTCTTCCCTGACTGCTTCTCCCTGCCAGACATCAGCTTATCCTACTCTCTACCAGGAAAGCTGGTTCGCCTGTGATTGCATTCTATCCTTACCATCTTGCAGCCTCTGCCTCCTGAGCTTTTAGGGGGCAGGGCAGTCCATCCCCATCTACTCCCAAGACACCAAGCACAGTAACTTGCACATAGCCAGCAGACGGGGGGCTGAATGAGCCATTAGAAAACCCACATCTACAATTCCTGGCTGCCTGGTCAGTGTCTTCAGGTGAATGGAACAGTGGTTATGCCTTTCCCATTGTCAATTGTCTTCTACACAGAACCTCTTTCCTAACAATATGTGGTCTTTTCTAAGTCAACACATTAAAGATGCCAGTCTTCTTAGTCAAAGGATACAAAATTTCAGTTAGACAGAAAGAATAAGTTCAAGAGATCTATTGGACAATATGGTGACTTAGTCAACAACAATGTATTGCATTGTATTGTTAAGAGTAGATTTTAGATATGGTAAGAGTAAAGGCAAAAATTTCTGAACATAAAAGTTGTAGTATAGTTATTAAAAGTGTTTCTCCACCATGCGTGGTGGCTCACACCGGTAATCCCAGCAGTTTCGGAGGCAGAGGCAGGTGGATCACCTGAGGTCAGGAGTTCGAGACCAGTCTGATTAACATGGTGAAACCCCATCTCTACTAAAAATACAAAAATTAAGGTCAGGCGTGGTGGCTCAAGCCTGTAATCCCAGCACTTTGGGAGGCCAAGACGGGTGGATCACGAGGTCAGGAGATCGAGACCATCCTGGCTAACACGGTGAAACCCTGTCTCTACTAAAAAATACAAAAAACTAGCCGGGCGAGGTGGCGGGCGCCTGTAGTTCCAGCTACTCCGGAGGCTGAGGCAGGAGAATGGCGTAAACCCGGGAGGCGGAGCTTGCAGTGAGCTGAGATCTGGCCACTGCACTCCAGCCTGGGCGACAGAGCGAGACTCCATCTCAAAAAAAAAAAAAAAATACAAAAATTAGATGGACATGGTGGTGGGCGCCTGTAATCCTGGCTACTCAGGAGGCTGACGCAGGAAAATCGCTTGAAACCCGGGAGGCGGAGGTTGTGGTGAGCCAAGATCGCGCCACTGCACTCTAGCCTGGGCGACAGAGTGAGACTCCATCTCAAAAAAAACAAAAACAAAACAAACAAACAGAAAGAGTAGATTTTAAGTGTTCTCACCCCCCACCAAAAAAAAAAAAAAAAAAAGGTAAGTATGTGAGATACTGCACATTACCTCGCTGGATTAAGCCATTCCACGTTGTATACACATTTAGAAACATCATGCTGTACACAGTAATATAGAAATGTTTACTTGTCAATAACACAAAAGATATGGGTCATTAAATATACACACTGTGCTTCTCCTAATGGCTCTTCTTAAAATTCTCTATGGCACCACAGACTTTAATTCTCCATCTGAATTACATGCCTAACTTGCAATCAATTCACAAAAGAAATAGTTCACATAAGGGAAACTCCTAAACTTTCTCCTTTTTTTCACCCCAGTAATCAGATCTAGTAATCCTGGGCAAGAAATAACACACTGTACTGATGAGTTACAAATGTTTCTGGTATGCTAACTTCAACCATATTTGTGTGGGGAGGTAACACCTACATTCTTAAATATTAACATAAAAATGGCTTCATGGATATGCAAATCTAATAGACCATTCATTGTGGCAGTGAACAAAATGGACAAAAATTCCTGCTCTTAGCTAACAGTCTAATACAGGAGGTTTTTTTTTTGAATTACATTTAAAAACAGAGTGAGTGAGACAGTGATAAGAACGAAGGAGAAAAATGGAAGCAGGAAAGCTGAACAAAGCATAGCTGGGGCAAAGGTGTTTGAAAGTTTAGACACAGAGACCAGGAGGAGTGGCTCACGCCTGTAATCCCTTTGGGATTACAACACTTCAGGAGGTTGAGACGGGTGGATTGCTTGAGGCCAGGAGTTCCATACCAGCTGGCCAACATGGCGAAATCCTGTCTCTACTAAAAATACAAAAATTAGCTGGGCAAGGTAGCACATGCGTGTAATCCCAGCACTTCAAAAGGCTGAGGCGGATGGATAGCTTGAGGCCAGGAGTTCCAGACCAGCACGGCCAACATGACAAAACTTTGTCTCTACTAAAAATACAAAAATTAGCCGGACGTGGTGCTGTACACCTGTAATCCCAGCTACTAGGGAGGCTAATGCATGAGACTCTCTTGAACCTGGGAAGCGGAGGTTGCAGTGAGTGGCGACCATGCCACTGCACTCCAGCTTGGGTGACAGAGTGAGACTCTGTCTAAAAGAAATTTAACATAAAACAAAATAAAGTTTAAGGCGGGCGCAGTGGCTCATGCCTGTAATCCCAGCAATATGGGAGGCAGAGGCGGGTGGATCACACGAGGTCAGGAGTTCGAGATCAGCCTGGCCAACATGGTGAAACCACATCTCTACTAAAAATACGAAAATTAGCTGGGCATCGTGCCACACGCCTGTAATCCCAGCTACTCAGGAGGCTGAAACAAGAGAACTGCTTGAGCCTGGGGGCAGAGGTTGCAGTGAGCTGAGATCGCACCACTGCCCTGCACTCCAGCCTAGGCAATAGAGTGAGACTCTGCCTCAAAAAATAATAATAAAAATAAATAAAGTTTAGACAGAGTGTCCCTGGAGGGTGCTATTTGAGACAGAGTTGCCAAATATAAGGGACAGCTGTCTGGAGAAAGAACACTGGAGGCAGAAGGAGGAGTGAGGTGAGATCCCTGGGAAGGGGGTCAGGTGGCCCCTGGGAGAATCACAGGAGGGAGGTCAGACCCAAAGAACCCTTGGGTGCAGTGAGATCTGCGGCTCCCACTGTGAGTATGATGGAAGCACCAGAGTGGCAGGATCTCCTTTGGGTCTTAAAAGGCCACCAGCTACTTCGTGGAGAACAGACTACAGTGAGGACGAGGGCAGAAGCTGGGAGGAGAGTGAGAAGACCCTTGCGACAATGAACAGGGCTGACCTATTACCTTGCAGAAATGACTTCACAGGTGTGTGACTGCACAGGCTGAGTCAGAAAAGTTAGCATGCTTCCTGCCTTGCTCTCTGTTGGATCATTCATGATGGGGAAAAACCAGTTGTCATGTCTTGAGGGCACTCAAGCAGTCCTATGGAGAAGTGTAAGTGCCAAGACCTAAAGCCTCCTGCCAACAGCCATGTTGAACAAGCCATCTTAGACATGGGTCCTCCAGCCCCAGGCAAGCCTTCAGATGACACAGCCCTAGCCGAAAGCTTGACTGCAACCTCCTAAGAGAACCAGAGCAAAGCCACCCCCCAAATTCCTGACACACAGAAATGAAAAGAAAATAAAGATCTGATTTTTGTTTGTTTGCTTTTTTAAGACAGGGTCTTCGTCTGTCACCCAGGCTGGAGTGCAATGATGCAATCATAGCTCACTGCAACCTTGAACTCCTAGACTCAAGTGACCTTC